TTGGAATTCAGTTTTTTCTCGTCTAGATTTGTCTCCTTGATACTGCAGAGAATGATCAGGTATAGAACTTACATGAGAACCTAAAGAACGAATGGATATGCCACAGAATATTTATTCATACCCACTCCCACAGTGCAAATGGCCTAGGTAAAACTCATCAGTATATTGTGTGATCATATTACATGGACAGATCGAAAGGTTTTGGAGGGAACTGCGTGAAAGGTTGGAAAAGTTTTTCAAGTTGCCTCTAAACCAACTAAAAGAACAAGGTCAATGTGATCCCCACGATGAAAGCCACAGGTACTGAGTTAGACATATCTATAGACATTACTTTCATAATTTAGTTTATTTGAGTAATTTTAAAGTTGAGGCCCTATATTAAAGAGAAAAGGCAAACAGTGAATTTATTTTTCCTGTAACCCAGTATAAATTATAAGGGAGAACCACTCTTCTTTATCCCTTTTGTTTCAAACACCTGAATTCACTGAACCATGAGCCATAGGCAAGCAAATAAATTGTAACAAGGGAATGTATGCTTGGTATGGACAGGAGGGTTAATTTCTATATGGGGTGTCTGTTTATAGAAACTTAGTCCTGACCAAATGAAAAATCTAATTTTCTACTGGCTAAGTGTCTGTTTATGGCGACATGGAAATTCAGATTAGCAGCTGGAGTTTAAACACATGTTATCAATCTGCATACATACACAACACTGTGTGAGTCTGTTCAATGAAAAGAGTGTTGCAAACAGAGCCCTGACTGACTTTTTGACAGGCTTCTCTTGGGATACGTGATGACACCAATAGTTCAAAGGGAAGTCAACACCTTTGTAGATGTGGTATGGAACAGTCACAGGATACGTGAGCAAAAAAACACTTTCCTTCCAGATGGAGTGCCAAACCACATTTACGATTTTCCAGATAAATATGGACTGGAGGAATGTGGTAGGTATCAATGTCATTGTTCGCCAGGGTTCTATGTTCAATTGGTAGTCCCGCTTGAGCACTACACGACTGGTGAGATCAAATAAAAAGAGCAAGAGTCATACCCTTTAAAGTGCACCTAACACCAAAAATTTTCCACGCTTTTTTACATTCGCTTTCACACCTAGTCCTCTCAAACTTATTCATGTAATAAGGAATGATTAAATAGTGTTTTGCTATCACCTCCGTTAAAATTTTGGGATTTAGTCTTAAATTGTAAATGCCCAAACGAAAGTGTTTTTTACTGTTATGGCTTTAATTGTGATTTTCATGAATTTCCTGCGGTGAAATCTTCCAAAATTTTTACATCACATTCGCTTCCAGCAAGATACGAATTTTAAACACGAAAAAAGTAGGCTTTTTAAAGGCATTTTTTTCTATATTTTCAAATTTACGTCTTTTACCACTGCAAAAAATCTGGTGTTATAGATTTC